ACAGGTGCCTGCCACCACACCCAGCTAATTTTTGTATTTTTAGTAGAGACGGGGTTTCGCCATGTTGACTAGGCTGGTGTTGAACTCCTGACCTGAAGTGATCTGACCACCTTGGCCCCCCAAAGTGCTGGGATTACAGGCATGAGCCACCGTACTCAGCTAGTAACGCCATTTTAAATGATGCATGCCTGATTCCCACAGGATAACTTCTCAGGACGAAATCGAAAGTTAACTGTATGGCTGCATTGGCTAAATAGCTCAAAAGTTTAGGTTCTGTTGGTGTTTAAAGCCTCTGCGGGCTAAGCACAGTGGCTCATGCCTATAATCCTGTACTTTGGGAAGCTGAGGTGGCAGGAACACTTGAGGCCAGGTATTCAAGATCAGCCTGGGCAACATAGTGAGACCCTGTTGGGATGGCATGCACCTGCTCGGGTCCTAGCTACTTGGGAGGCTAAGGTGAGAATCCTTTGAGCTCGGGAAGTTGAGGTTGTAGTGAGCTATCATCAGTCACACTACTGCAGTCCATCCTGGGTGAGAGAGGGAAACCATGCCTCTAAAAAAATAAAATTATAGTTAAGAAAGCCTCTGTAGTTTTATCAAAGTTAGTATTTTATATGGAGAAATGCAAAATTTTAAAGTAATATTTGGGATGAACTGGAGCAATAGGATTCTGTGATTTCAAAATTTCTTTAAGAATCCAAGGCAAGCTTTTGGCCCTTTTCCTGCACAAAAGCACAAATGGATGGATATACACCTACTTGGAAGGAGTGTTTTTAGACTTTTCTGAAGCTCACTGTGCACCTTAGGCAATAGGGGATTGATAGAGAAGTTCCTTTTGGTGTCCAGACCTCACTGTCATCAAGTGCCAGTACCTCCTGGTGTGACCCTGTAGTTTGGGGAGATCAGGCCTCTCTCTTCCCAGATGATTTCCATTTAGACACTCAGAATCGAGCTGTATGGCCCCCAGTTCCTTTCTTTGGAAGATCTCATGCCAAGTTGACTGGGCCTTGGGCGCCACCAGACCCTGAGCCCTTTAGAAAGCCTTTCAGGTCGATTTGCTGCTTCTATTTGTTCCTAAATAAATAATTTACAATGAATAGATGGGAGTTTTTCATGACCCATTTTTGTTTCTTGTTTACAGAGAAAATGACAGAGTGGTCATGGTCAATGGCACCCCCATGGAGGATGTGCTTCATTCGTTTGCAGTTCAACAACTCAGAAAAAGTGGGAAGATCGCTGCTATTGTAAGTACTGGGTTTGCTTTCAGCTTGCCTCAATAGCATTTTGTTCTTTTGCCCAGAAGAAAATTACCCCTTGCTTTTAAGCATTTGACAGAATTACATAACCTAGGGACTGCTGTTCTTGGATTCTCAGTACTTTTGGAGGGGTGTGAAGATGTGTGTAAGTTATCCTTCCTGCCTTTCCTTGTGTCTTCTCCTGAGGCCAGTGATTCTCTGATCTGAGTTAGTTTGCCTTAGGAACAAAGTTAGGCAATTATTCCCTAAGAGAATTAGCTAGATTCAGAAAAAATTTAGGAAAAAATTTTCAGCTCAAAAACTCATTATAAAGGCCCAAGCAAGGTGTATTATATCTTCATAGACTAAGAGTTTCATTAGAAGACTGTCTATAATCTTCATTCATCTATTCATTCATTCATTCACTGGCTGAGGATCAACTATGAGCTGGATGCCATTAGGCCCTGGGGCCAATCTGTGCTGCAAGGTGTGTTCACTCTAGTGGGGCAGGTAGACACACAAAGTGAGAATGCTAATAAAATAGGGATACACCCACATATATGGTGTGT